GGGATTTTGGTTCTGGCCCAAGCCAGCCTCAGGAATTTAGCCAAACTACAGCAAAGGGATATGTTCGCGTTCTCCTGTAGTTTGAATAAAGGCATTCTATACCAAAAGAAGAGGTATCTTGGACATGATCAGATTCAAGAAAATCTACTTTAAAAAAAAATGTTGACGTGTGAAGTCGACACCATTACCATTAGACCAGCGTGCCTCTGAAGTTACTCCCAGGGGTGCTGGTGTACTTTTAACTATATAACCATCAGAAGACCCTAGTGAGGGCTGGCTAGGTTTACTGGTGCAATCTGAAACTACAGAATAACATTTTGTTGTTGTTGCTTTACTTGTTCCTTTTCATATGTAGTAAATGACTTTTTAAAAGACTATTTTTTTTAGAGCAGTTTTAGATTCACAGTAACATTGAGAGAAAAGTACAGAGAGTTCCGACATCCCCCCTCCGTGGCACACACACAGTCACCTCCCCTACGATCCACATCCTGCACCAGAGTGGTGCGTTTGTTAAAACTGATGAATCTACATTGACACATCATTATCACCCAGAGCCCGCAGTTGACATCCTGTACATTCTGTGGGTTTGGACAAATATATGAAGCCATGGATCCACCACTGAAGAATCACACAGAGCAGCTTCACTGCCCTAAGAGTCCTGTGTGCTCTGCCTGCACAGCCTTTCTTCCCCTTAACCCTGGAAACCCCTGATCCTTTTACTATCTTCAGTTTTCCCTTTTCCAGAAGGTCATAGAGTTGGAATCATAAAATATATAGCCTTTTCAGATTGGCTTCTTTCACTTAATAAGTGACTTAAAAAAAAAAAAAGTAGGAATAACTGTAGAATGATTGTTTAGTGATCTCTTGCCTTAATTAACTGGCCGAAACAATCACTGTGTATCTTCAGAAACGGTACCAGTGTTGTTACCTACATCAGTGAACTTGTAAGATTATTATGTGTTTCAAATAAGATGATGGATAGCAAAGGGTGTTGGAAACCGTACGATGCTACACAATTGCAGGAACTATAATTAGAATGAATTTTAACAGGAACACCAGAAAGACACTTATCAAGATCTATACTACATCTCACATTAGTTAAAGGTTCTAATTCCAGTCACACTCATTGGGTTAAATGATCTAACTTCTATACCTCCGAGTTATATGCCTCAAAGCACATGTTTACTCTGAAAGATAATGAATTCCTTTTCAACACTGAAAAGGACCATCGTAAGTGTTTGTGTAAAATGTCTGTATTCTGCATATCGCATGAATGCCTCTGTGGAAACCGCTCCAGTACTGTCCATTGGGTAACACACTGCTGTGACTGCGTTAATATGGCCACATTCCATCATCATGTGTAATTCATCCCTTCAGGTTCAGTGTGTGTCGTAAGCAATGCTGCTTCTGCATGTTGTTTCTATGGCAGAAGAAGGCAGGAACTAAATGATTATTACAATATAGCCCCAAACTACCTTCTAAGCAGGCATTTGGGGGTTAAGCAGTCAAGCCACATATCTTAGTAGAAAAGATTCAGAATTTCTAAGAGGTACCATTTCCTCTGATTTTCTTTGGGTTCCTGACAGCATTTTCTCGCCATAATTTCTGGAATCAACAGATGATATCAATTCTTGGTCATCTACTGGATAATTACAAACATTAGTCTAAAGATAGTTGAAGGATTAGAGTTTTATTAGACTGTGTAGTCTTTGGAATCTCAAAAAATTATTACATACAGATGTAGCTTAAAAATTCCCTAAACAAACTGGTCTTAATGGGAAATGTTGGTGTAAAAATGCTGCCCGAGAAAGTACATTATTGTATTTTGCTGAATAACATAAAACCATCAAATTCCAACCACAAGCTAATTATCTATGCTTAACATTTGGCATATATGAAATTCCTTATTTTTTTAACTATTAAGGAATAGGTTCTTAAATTTCCTTAAACTTTTCCAACTTTAATATAAAAAATTGTTAATGACAGGAATTCCTGACCTGAATCATTTTTAACTTAACTATACCAGTGACCTGTTCTTAACAGTGTTGATGATTGGGACAAAAATGTTATGAGTTAAAAAATTAAGACTAATCAGAACACCATCCCCTCAAATAACAACTGGTTATTTTGTGATGTGAAATTGTGCATATTTTTCAAATACAGCATGGCTCCCTTCTAGGTAATAACAAAAACAATAAATCCATACATGCTTTTACCTTTAATTGGGCAACTTTTAATACATATAATTTGTTTACGGTTACATAACTGGCCTGTCTCGTGCCATGAAGACGTCACAGCTGCCATGCGTGGAATTGATGGCACACTACTCTGCCTTTCCCCTTCTTCACCCCCAAATACCACTGCTACTAAAATAAACAGTCTCTGCATGAGAAAGAAGAAAAAAAATCACGAATAAGCAGACCTCTCAGCTGAACTAGGACCTTTTCTCTATCCAGCTCAATTTTAAGTGATTTAAAATCCTAAGTCAGTATCAGCAGAGATGGTCAGCCTTGAGTCAGGGGCCCAGGAGCCGTGGAACGTAAGCACCTGAGGAAATCCCTTACCGAACGCACTTGCCCCTTCTCAAAACAAGGGCCTTGGAGCGCCTTCACTTGCTTGTTTCAAAAGTCTACAGCTTCTTGCAGAAAGGACACTGTTTATTAGGACAACAGTCAGAGAAGGTCAAAACAGAGAGAGGCACTCCTTCCCCCTGGGCGCCTTGGGCTGCGATTGTGAAATGACAGTGGTGACCACGCTGCTGACCATCACTGTGGTGGCATTTATCAGGTGCACGCCATGTGGCTACATCGTCTCACTCAATTTCACAACAGCTTGTCCTATATGGGTAAGAAGCTCGAGCTCTGAGAGGTATCAGAACGTACACAGGCCGCAAAACTCTGATAAAATGTCTTCCTTTCAGAGCCTCTTCCAATAAAACAGATTTTAAAAAGATGTCAATATAAAATCCACACCCCCTCGTGTGTGGGTCAGGAGGTACAACAGACTTCACCGCCAACGCCCGCCACCCTACACAGCCCACAGCTGTCACACCAGAAGCACACCCCTCACCCCAAGTGGGAACAGATGTGGAAAATCTGGGACACGGTGAGCAGAACAATTTTGGCACATACTTTTGTTTCCGCTTCACCCCAGAGGAGAGGTGAGGAGGTGCTGGATGCTGAGTGGCTGGCTTGGTGCCAGGGCAACAAGTGGCTGCAGAGCCGGGGTCACCGCACGTGTCTGGGTGCAGCCCTGCAGTTGGGGGTGTGTGCAACCACCTCACGCCACACTGCTTCACTCCCAGGACCCACACACACAGGGAGAGGCAGAGTCCCCGGGGATTCAGCTTCCACATGGCTGCGGCCTGAGCTGGGCACCAGTGACGCTGCCACCCTTCGCAGCCACCTAGCGGCAGCCAGTGAAAAGAATCTGGAGATGGAGCGGCAGCTTGGCGAGGCTTTCCAGATGGGGAGGGATTCATGAAGAGGCACGATAGTTGGTATAAAATTGAAGTGTAATTCTTTTGAAGACGGCGTTGTAGAAATAAAGGGTGGGCAAAATCAGCGCTGATAGCAGGCACATCTTCCATTCACAGCACGCCCCCATCCCCGAGTGATCACCTGGGCAAGGCCAACCCCAACCTCTTCATGGATCTAGATGCTGGCATGGCTATAGCTCAGACTCGAGCCCTGCTGTCTCTGTTTTAGGGAATCTAGTTTTTTTTTTTTTTTTTTTTTTTTAGATATAACTTACATAGAATAAAATTCACAAATCGTGAGTGTACAACTTGGTAAATTTTTATACCTGTGCCTACCTGTGCAATGACCACCCAGCTCAAGATATAGAGGACTTCCTGCCCTGCACATGGCTCCCCCATGCCCCTCCTCATCCATATCTGTGCGCACCTGTGTGACAACCACCCAGCTCAAGATACACAAGGCTTCCCGCCCTGCAGTGGCTTCCTCAGGTCCCTCCTCGTCAACATCCCCCTCTTCTCAAGGACAGTCCCGACTCTGCTTTGTCACCCACCATGGGTTAATTTTGCCAAGTTTTGAATGTCATGTAATTGGAACAATCAGTGCATACTCCTTTCTGCTCTCTTTTATCTGTGATGCATCCATGCTGTTGTGCATGTTAAAGTTTGTTCTTTCCCGTCACTGTGCAGCGTTTTGCTGTATAACACAATTTACATACTCATGGTACTGCTGTAGATTGACATTTGTGTTCTTTTATGGAAGTCAACACTTCAACACTTAACTGTACAAACCCATGTATCATTTTTCTTGTACTGTTATCTCTGAAATCTGTGGAGCTGGACTGACTTAAAGCTGCTTTGACTGAGTTCCAAGACTGACCTGCCTTCTAATGAAATCCACTCTTCAGAAAATATGTTGAGTGGTCTTGGTGTTTATTCCGTGGTGCCCAGAACCAACTTTTGAGGATTAGATTGATTCATTAAGTACTGGTCAAACATAATTCTCCCCAGGTTATAATCAGAGGTTAACAAGAAGGTACTGAAATACAACAGACAGCTAAAAAGTGATGAAACTTTATCAACAGCCAGTGGAAAAGAGGGTGGGAATAAAAGGAAGGACCCAAGTGCCTATCTGCTGCTCACTCTGGTCTTTCAACCCTTCCCTTCCTCCCTGATAGCACCTTATTTTTCCAGCATCATCAGCGAGAGATGCTTGTTATACACAACAATTTTCCCAATGAGAGCTTGCTTCTGTGAGCAAGAGGGCCTTTCTTCCTTTTTTTCAAATCTTTCTTTTTTTTTGAGACAGAGTCTCGCTCTGTCGCCCAGGCTGGAGTGCAGTGGCCGGATCTCAGCTCACTGCAAGCTCCGTCTCCTGGGTTTACGCCATTCTCCTGCCTCAGCCTCCCAAGTAGCTGGGCGCCACCTCGCCTGGCTAGTTTTTTTGTATTTTTTAGTAGAGACAGGGTTTCACCAGGTTAGCCAGGATGGTCTCGATCTCCTGACCTCGTGATCTGCCTGTCTCGGCCTCCCAAAGTGCTGGGATTACAGGCTTGAGCCACCGCGCCCAGCCTCAAATCTTTCTAAATTGCATTAAGCTTCACCTTGTATGACTTATGGCCATCATTATAAAAATCCATGAGGTGTACTTTCTGTACCTTGGCTCATCAGCCTGCCTTGCAAGTTTGGCTGGTCTGATCTTTCCTCTTGAGCGATTACTAGGACCACTGATATGCAAGTAAGCTGCAATGAAAACCCCAGCATTTTCCTTGAGCTGGCCAGAGGAGGGCTAGTGACCACTAGGGATAATGATTGAGATGAGGATCCAAATCCCAATTCTGAGTTTAACACTGCCATTTTCGGGAAATTTCTTAGGCTAGCATGGACTTGTCCGTGAAAGGCATCTAACTGGCAGGGGACCAACAGCTGGGAAGTCAGGCACGAGTAGAGTACTGTCAGGTCTACACACACCACCTGAAAATGCTGGGGTACAGGAAAAGCATTTTGGACAAAGCCTTCACGTAGGCTCTAACTTTGGCCTCCTAAAGTCAAAGTGTGCTTCAAGCCACTTGAGGAGAGGGCCAAGATTCTAGTGGAACCAACTACTCATAATTCGAATCCCAAAGAGCAGCCAAAACTCCAATGTAGGTTCTTCCGCTGCGGGGGATTCAATAAAGACGCTAAACCACAAAGCTTAAGCTGGCACTTGGACCACTTCAATTTGAAACTAAACTTCTACAACTGAGGGAAGCTTTCAAGAATTCACTACCACTGATACAATTAAACTGGCTTGTAGGAGTCATAACCCAAACTAGAGAAGTAACCACAGTGAGTTTTGGTTAAAAAAAAAAAATGGGGGTAAGATGACTCACTGAAACAAACAAACAAACCTAACAATAGGAAAACCTCTGCCACGGCTCCCTTCTTCCGGTGCTCCCCTGGCCCCACATTCCCACCGGCATGGGAGCTTTTGTTCCCACTGAGTGAGTCAGTGGAGATGGGAATCTCTAGTGACTTGTGTGAACCAGTGTTGCTGCAGCTCTGAGAAATGGCGCTGCTGCGCTGTGTGTCACACACCATCACTCAAAGGCACTCACTGTTTGATAGGAACATGTGCCCATCTACTGATGAGGCAAGTGAGTCAGCCATTCTACGGTGGTCCAAAGTGCTGCTGTGGCTCTGTGCCCCTTTGATAAATAGAGAAATATCTCTTGAAATAATTTTTTTCCCTTCCGGTTGTTGAGTAAAAATTCAAGCATGCAGAAGAAAACGTCAATTCTGAATGGCATGCTTTTTATAACTCATGGCAGCGGAGTGAAAGGGGAGAGGAATTTTCCACTAGCTTCCATTGCAAGAGACACGCATGCAAGGCAGGAGGGTTAGAAAGAGGGGGCGGGTCTCCATAACTGAAACTCATGATGGGAAAATGATTCAAGTCCCTGTACTTTTACCACAAGCATTTGGAGAATCACACTGAAAGTTTACTTCCCAAATTGCTGTGGTGTTCAAGTAAATTTGGCTTTTCTGTATAATCTAATGTTATAAAACTAGTTCATCTTAGAGCAAGTGAGGATGGCAAGGAGGCAAACTATAAATTACAAGCAGAAATGGACCACATGAGTTTTGTAAAACTGGCACCCATCTACACTTCCAAAAACGCATTAGCCCGAAGGCAACCATGGGTACCCACGGAACATGTGCATGTTGCTCTGAGAACACTTGTTCCGAGGTACACGGTAGTTACAAATGCTGTTCACCTGCAAGAAGACAGGGCCAGCCAGCCAGCTTGCAAGGAACATGGCTGTTTTTCCTAGTGATCTCAGAAGTTAGGAAAACACGGAAGGATACATCTTAATGAAGGTCTTACACAATTTATTAGTTCTTTTTGACTTACTAGTTTTCCGATAAACATATAAAATCATAGAGATTACAATTAAAGGCAATACCTGGATTGCGGGAAGGGGAGGAAGAGGGTAGGTTGCGTTTATATCCTACCAAGTGCAAGGTTCTAAGCGAGACGTTCTCAAACGTTCTCAGCTCATGGCACCCTTAGTGATTCACTATTTTTTCTCTGTTGATCTCTAGGCCAACAGAAATACCTAACAGTTGCTTTTATTAAGTGGTTAGTTCCAAATAATTTAAGTACTTATGTCTTGACAATTTAGTAGCTATTTGAAAATATCAATATACATATAAATTGAGTTTTAAGAAAAGATCATGTTCTGTCTTAAGTAACCCCAGTGACGTATGAATGGAATATATTTGCCAGTTAGGTGCTGCCTGGCGTCTCACACTTTGGAATCAAATTGGACACTGCCACCTGCATTTTACGCTCTACGCTAATTTTCCTGTAGTACTTGCTTTTCACAAAGAACAACCACCAAAAACCTAGCTTTACAGAGGTATGAGCTGATACTGTTGAAACTGCGAGCTGCGTTGAGCTATGAATTCTTCCAGTGGCTGACAGACACTGAGTACTGCTGGGCTTCCCTTGAATATTCAGACTGTCTCCCTTACTGCAATTTGTTTGTTGCAAGGACCCCAGGGTGCCTTGGCACACAGTTTGGGAACTGTGCTAACTCATTCCACTTAATTTTCACACTAGCATAGCACAGTAGGTATTTATATACACGTTTTATCAACCAGAAATGTGGTGTTAGAAAGTATCGAGCCAGTAGTTCCTAAGGAACTGAACTAGGACTCACACCAGGTGTGTTTGATTCTCAAATCTGTACTATAATGAAGACTCTACAATGGCTTCCAATGTCACAAATATCGCTCCTTCCCCAACTCAATTCAACATGAATGAAGTTATTTTATTCAGTTTTCTATACTATGGCTCAAAAGTCAGAAACACTTGCATTGGAGTAGTTCAAAGCAGAACTTAATTCAGTCAATTTCACTTTTCTGAGAGTAATCTTGTATTTAGTCCAATGGGCAATGGGTAGAACTACTATTCATAGCACAAATCATTTTCTTCCTATACTTGAAGCCAATGAACTCCAACAAAATCTAATACATGACTCAGACATTTATTTATTTATTATTTATTTTTAGACTAATGGGAACTGCATGAATTCTTTCTTGGTCTTCCAAGAGCAAATGCCTTTTATGCTTGATCCGGAAAGAATCGTGTTTTGGAATGTCAAATTACTAATATACCTAACTGAATACTTTTAACCCTCATCAGATGGCCAGAATGGTTTAATCCACAGTTCTCTGTAGACAGTTACTTTAAAATTACTTTTCCAAAGTTCATTTCGTTAGGCATTATTTAGGTACTCCCAGATGAAAACTGCAGAGACAAATAAAACCACCCATAGTAACTAGGGTCATAGCGTCACAACAAAACTTGTCAAACATTTCATTTTTAAACATCTTTTAGTTTTTAAGAGAATTTTTGAGATATAAAACACAGGAAATGGATAAAGTATACTAACCTGAAATTTACAGCTTGATAACTTTTAAAATATGAATTCACTCATGTAACTAGCACCAAGGTCAAGATCTAGGAAACATTTTCGGCGCTCCAGAAGGCTCCCTTGTGCCACCGCTCAGTTCACAGCCTCAAACTCCTCCCACCCGGAAGACATTATTCTGACTTCTACCACCTTTAGTAAATTTGGTTCATTCTTGAGCTTCACGGAAATGGATCATGCAGTAAGCACTGCTAGGGTGTGGCTTCTGTTACCCAACACGATGTCTGCGATGGCATTCATTTGACAGCGATCCATTATATTATTTGTTAAAATGGAACTGCAGAGCATGAGCACATCACACCAGTCTCCATGGAGCAACATTTAAAAATCGAAATGATAATTCTACTGTGAGAACAAAACTAGGGAGACTACTTACCGCAGCATCTGATGTTAGCAGGTTCAATCTGAAATCACCTAACTGGCCTCAAAATATATTTTGAGTCTTCCTGATGTGGACAGTTCAGCAGATGTTATAGGTTCAAGTCAGGACATAAGGGAGGCTCTTTCATGGCAAGTGTGACTCTAAATGCTGTATCTGTGTCTTTATCTTAATGAATTGCTGCTTAGAGTGCCATTTTCTGTAAAAATTACTTTAGAATGAGGAATCCTATAGACATAAAACGTGGGTTTGCACTTCATTTTATGGCCAAATTGTGCCTATCGGTTCTCACTCAACCCTCTCCCCTCCAATACACGAACGACACACCCTGAAACAGAAATTCGACAAACTTCCTCCGAAAATGACTTGGAAACGTCCCTAGAGCTGGTATTTTGTAAAAAGCAGTTTGACGTAACATATATTTTGTAGTAAAATACTCTCTTATTTTGGGTTAGGAGGTCTTGGGAGACATAATTACAAGTTCAATGATTTGCCCAAAGTCATAATCACCATTTGCAGTTCACAGTCTCTCTTTCCAGCACAGTCAAACTATAATCATCACAGAACACAGTGCATGTGGTTTTAGAACATTTTTGCTGGACTGCTGGCCACAGACAGAAGTAGAACATGTTTATGGGATTTTCTATGGTCTTCCATAATAAATAGAGGTCCCAGCTTCACTATCGACATTTGAAATGGCAAACAGTAAATATGTTGATACATACTTGTTACACTTCCTACCAAATTTCAGATCAAGAAATGAAGATAAAAGTTATATTTGGAAGACAAAAAGTTATACTATCCTCTGTCTTGCCACATCATCTGGGTATTGAATATTGTTTTGCTTTTGCTGCATTGCTTCTTATCTGAAAATATTCTACTGCTGATCAGATCTAAAATAAGGTTAAAATGCTTAAAATATATTGCATCTTTAAAGATTAATGTGCAAAACATAGCCCTGTTAAGTAATTTGTGTTTCTAATGTGAGTTATAAAAAGATTGCTCCCTTTCAGCTTCTGCAAAGCCCAGGCAGATGTACAATTCCTTAAAGTGCATGCACACAGGGGGGTTAAATTATGTAAATAAATATGAAAATATGAAAAAACTCGCAGCTTTAAACACTTGGGAGAATGGGAACTGAACCAGAGGTCGAAGGGACAGATCATCTCATCCAATACAAGGGGTAGATTTTCTTCCTAAATAGTTCAGGAAAGCATGAACTTCAGTGGTTATGCAATCATCAAATTTTAAAAAGCTGCACCTACAGCTTTATGAACATGAAAATCAAAGAGGAAAGAACACATTTCTTTTCTGAAAATCCCCTGGCCTTACACGACAGCGCTTTTCCCTACGGTTTGGGCGGCTTTATTCCACAGATGGGAGCTGGATGCTTCTCACCACCCACGCACGTTGCCCGTCAGTGCGTTTTGCTCACAGGAGTCTCAAGTTGCTGCAGGGCACGGAAATGTGTGTTTGCATCCATTTACTCTAACCCAGGAGAGCACAGAGAAAAGGGTGTCCAGGCAGGAGGAGAGGAGCAGTTCGTTGGAGAGCCATCACCCATACTGAGAAAATAACTGTCCAAACACATTTGTGGATGGCGGGTCAGTAGTGCATCTTCATGTACAAAAGATGGCTTGTGTTCCCACTGAGTCTTCGTGTAAATTAATCCTGTGTATTTTGAGCATCTTCCAATATTATCTCAAATATTCTCTCCATTGGAATTCTTTCAACGTTTTGGGTGCTAGCAGAAAGAGGAGATAAAGAAACAGAAAGTCTTGGCTGGGGGTGGGGTTAGGGGGGTTTCTGTCCAGGGGCAGTGGGACCCGGCAGGGCACACACAGCCCTGCTGTGAGATTTCTCAAGCATTCCCATCCGCATTCCCAAGTCCGCTCCTCTCCCTTTTTAAAACAGAAACAACACATGCTTCCTGCCGGCCTTATAAAGGACAGCAAAAACTAGTTTGCCTTGAAAGTGTCTTCTAGAAAATTATCTAAATTTAGAAAATCGTCTAAGTTTTGCTAGCCTTTTCCCTTTTCTAGCCATTTAGAACAGTCATTGTGACCAAGTAAATTCAGTTTATGGTAAAAAGAAAAAAACAGCCTACTTCAGAGATGATCATGCTACCTCCTCCACAGAGCTCCACCCAGTATTTTAGCAAACCCACATAACACAGAAAGAGACAGCAAAAACAGGGCAGAGAGGAGATGTAAATGGCCATCAGTATCTGTATACTTCATTGCAAAAATGAAAAAGTAAGAATGTTAACGCTCCTCAGACAGCACTTTTTTTTTTTTAAAAAAAAGATAAGAATAGGCATATCAGTACAGCGGTGAGAGTGCTGGATGGGGCGTTGGGAGACCAGGGTTTTAGTTGGTACTCTGCTACCAACTAGCACTGTGACCCAGGTGCTAGCATCCTTCTTACAGTGATAGTCCAACAATATTACAGGGTCTAAAGCCTCCCCCCATTGCCCACCAAGCTTTGGAATGTCTATCTCTTAGAGAACTGAAACACACACACACACACACCCCTACCTCACATGTGTAGGCAAATGTATGCATGTATGTCTCTAGACAGACATACATAAGATTCTACTTGGCATAGAAAACACTGAGACATTTTGTTACGTTATTATTATTTTTTCTTTCAGTGTACCTTAAATTCAGAAAGGCAAGAACACTCTAGTTTCATTTAAAGGAAGTTCCTAGTATATTGTAGCCTAAATGTGTCAATCTCATTCCTAGAGCTAAATTTTAACTGCTTCTATTTGTAATTATTTATCATTCAGTACTTTTTTTTTCTTTTTTTGAGATTGGGTCTCATTCTGTCACCCAGGCAGGAGTGCAGTGGCACGATCACGGCTCACTGCAGCCTCAACCTCCTGGGCTCAAGCAATCCTCCCACCTTAGCCTCCTGAGTAGCTGGGACCACAGGCATGAGCCACCATGTCCAGCTAATTTTTTTAAAAAATTTTTCTGTTGGGCGCAGTTGCTCACGCCTGTAATCCCAGCACTTTGGGAGGCCAAGGCAGGCGGATCACGAGGTCAGGAGATTGAGACCATCCTGGCTAACATGGTGAAACCCCGTCTCTACTAAAAATACAAAAAAATTAGTTGGGCGTGGTGGCGGGCACTTGTAGTCCCAGCTACTCAGTAGGCTGAGACAGGAAAATGGCTTGAACCCGAGAGGCGGAGTTTGCAATGAGCTGCGATCGCGCCACTGCACTCCAGCCTGGGTGACAGAGTGAGACTCCATCTCAAAAAAAAAAAAAAGTTTCTGTAGAGATGGAGTCTCATCATGTTGCCTATGCTGGTCTTGAACTCCTGACCTCAAGTGATCCTCCCACCTTGGCACCCTAAAGTATTGGGATTATAGGAGTGAGCCACTATGCCCGGCCCTACATTCAGTACAGTTTTTAAAAGAAAATAGTTTTATACTTTCTTTCTACCTCTGTAGGGAAAACATTACTAGTATCTTCCCAGCTGAGAATTTAACAAAATATCCCAAAAAATAGACGAATGATGGAAGTGTGCAGAATAACTCAGCGGCCACCCAGGACCTGCCGAGTGTCTCTGCAGTCGCTCTGCTGCTGCAACCTCATCTCACTTCTGCACGGCAACCCTGGCTTTGGTTTCCTGTCTCCAGGCCTACCCTGCCCCAATCTCCTAGAAACATTGTCTTTCTCAGAACGTTGCTTTTCCTCTCCTCTCCTCTCCAGCATTGCTGACTGGGGGCTATAAATACAAGCTCCCCTTCCACGTGGCCCCGAGTCACCCACTAGCCTGTCTTTAGCCACTGCCCACAGCCTGGGGCCCACGAGACTTGGGGTGGGCACTGACTTTCTCTGAGCCTCACTTTTGTCCTTCATTAAAGGGGCCTCAGAGCATCCCCTGCTGTGCCAGGGAAACCCTCTGATGCTGCTTGAATTAACCCTCTTGTGCTGCTCGGAATTAGCTCTCTGGGCCCGACCTGCCCTTCAGGACATCTCAGAGACAGGCCTTGCCTCAGGCCTTCCAACAAACCCCCAGGCCATGCCCAGGGACCTTGGCTCCACGCTGCCTCAGGACACCCAGCTTGGGAGCCTCCTTGGCACTCTCAGAAGCACAGCTCCCAAACCTGGGACATTAATGCCCACGGGGCTCCACCTGCCCCCTGGGGACAGCAGTTCCCATTCTCACCCCAGGTGGATGTTCTGAGACACCGTCCCAGGGCTCCTTGGAAGGTCCTGTGGGGCTTCTCGCCAGCCAGCACGGCGGTGGCCGCCTGAGTCCACGTGTGCGAACCACCCTGCCGCGCCCCTGCCTCCCGCGCCTGTCCTGCATGGCTGCGCTCTGGGACCACTTCCTAAATAAACTTCCTGCATGCCTGCCTTTGTCTCAGGCTCTGCTTTTGGGGAAACCCAAGCTAAGGCAGTGTGAGAATCTGGTGAGAGAGAGGTACACACACATACACACAGAGAAGCATTTTGTCATTGTAAGCTGCTGTAACTATTCTTGCTGTGTGGATATCTATATATGCAGACGTGGCCTGACAACATCTGCTGCACTGTGTTTGCTCCTTGGCTTCCAGGAATCTGTGCAAGTGTCGGGTCCGCATAACGTGCCATGAGGCTGCAAGCTCACAGACATCTGGGTAAATATGTGTGTGCCCTACGAGAACTCTAAAAGACACCCGTGTAAAATGTGACACCTTTTGCATATGAAATGCCCAAAGAAATTTACATGAGGTTACTATAGCAGTCTCATTAAACTTACATATATTTAAAGTGCCCGCTATTGATGAGAAATAGCCACTTTATCAGTAGAAAATAACTGGAACATTTTGAAGGGAAAACACATTTCCTTCTCACAGTTTGGAGTAGTGGTAAGGCAAACACACAAAGAAGTAAAATGATATGAATATATGTGGAAAAACATATATTCTAATATATGTGGAAAAACATATATTCTAATATATGTGAAAAAAACTAATGCAAAGAATATTCAGCTGCACTCACAGAAGAGCAAAGCAGGTAGGATTTGCCGGAGCACAGATATACTGGTACACTCAAATTATTATAGGCTGTATCTATCCACAGGAGGAGGGGCATGGACTATTATGTTAGAATGCCACCAGCTGAGGCCCACAAACTTATTTCCTACTACATCTTGGAGTTTACAGTGGTCAACAAGTGAACTTTCAGTCTCTTATACTAGCAAAAGTAGGAAAGGGGTTGGTTATCTAGATACAGTATCAGAAAGTCACTCATAAATTACTAAACGGCCGGGTGCGGTGGCTGATGCCTGCAATCCCAGCACTTTGGGAGGCAAGGCAGGCAGATTGCCTGAGGTCAGGAGTTTCAGACTAACCTGGCCAACATGGTGAAGCCCCATCTCTACTAAAAATACAAAAATTAGCCATGCATGGTGGTGCGCGCCTGTAACCCCAGCTACTTGGGAAGCTGAGGCAGGAGAATCGTTTGAACCAGGGAGGCGGAGGTTGCAGTGAGCTGAGATCGCGCTGCTGCACTCCAGCCTGAGCGACAGAGCGAGATTCTGTCTCAAAAAAAGACAACAAAAAATTATGAATAGAAAAAAGCAAAAAGGCTAGATCAGAACAGATTCGTTTCAGGAAGTGCTTGAAAGACCCTATGTGGGCAGGCATCCACGTGGTCAGGGTGGGTGAAGGCAAGTGTGCTCCTTAAGACAAGTCACAAGACCCACCAGGGAATTGGCACCAGAGGCCAGGCTTTCCTCCCTTGGCCTTTAGCTTTTGCCTCAATTTCCAGGGCCTTACACTGAACGTGAAGAAAACGCCAAGACTATAAAAACAGTCAACAGATGGCAAGTAGCTTTGGCATGGGCTTTTCTAGGTTCCAGAAATGCAAGTCTGGCATTAATATATGGAGAAAACTTGCTTCCCACGTCACAGGGCATGTGAACATCACCTCTCACTGTGGGTAATGCGCCTACCCCCCAGGCTCTGGCGAGGGGTTAGGAGGAAAAGCGCTGCCCAAAACTCACATCTCCCAGCCCTTCCCTCTTTAGGCTCAGTCTCTGCCATGAAGTACTGCTGAGTACACAGCTGCTTAGGCAGCAAAATCTCCAGAATGAAAACACACACAAGAAAGCTCAACTCTAAAAGGAGGGGGAGGAAAGCCCCGTTTTACCACTTTTCTGTCTGGAGACCTCAACTGATGTTTCAGAGTTTCCTCAGGACAGGGAACCAAGAACATTAGGTCAAAAGCCTCCCAAACAGAATATCCCTGGATTTAGTAATCTTACACTCAAGTTTTCAAACTAATTGTAAGAGCGAATGTTTTGCTTGTTGTTACTAGAGTGTATATGTAGAATGGTTGCAGAGTTTCAGTATTCTATTCACTCTTCACCAAGTAAGAATATTTAAAACGAAATGACAAAAATGCAGAATGGTTTTGGCATCAAAATGAAACACAAAATGAGTATCTTTGCTGGGGACATGCAATGGAAGATGGCGGGACCTGAGGAGGAAGAGAAGACTCAAGGAGGAGACACAAAGGCGGCCGTGGTACGAGGCCACTGGGCAGCTGGGACAGCCAAGGATAGCATGTGCCCAGGTCTGAGGCCCATGAGATTGGGGCGCCAGTCAGGAAGCAGTGTGTGTCTTAAAAAGAAGGAATCTGGACCTTATCCTCAGGCAAACCTGCAAGGGAAGAAAGTGAGCTGCGGTCACCAGCTATGCATGTGGCTTCCTGACTCTGACAATGAGATGAAAGGAGAGCAG